CGCGAGTAGCCAGCTGTACGACAGCTTTTGTCGGATCGGTGGTGCCTCACCGGTGTCGATGTTGTGCTCCACCAGCGTTGTCTGGGTAAGCTCTTGCTCGCTCACCGCAAAGACTTGAGCGTAGCTCTTGACGAGATTTTCAACTTCTTCGCTATTCTCTGCGTTTGTCCTGTTGTCGCGGAGCAACTTCAAAAGTCTGTCTTCTCGGTCTGTAGGAGCTTCCACTGTGCGCCCCAACATGTCTCCCGAATACGTGACAGGCTTGACTTCAACGACTTTTGCGGGTTCGAGGATTCCCACCTCCTCCCCTAGTCGGAAGATCTTTGCTCCTGCAAAGGTGTTTGTTACCGGCACCTCAACTGCCTTCTCTCCACCTTCCCATACGACATCAGTACATTGGATAGGTACCGATCTTGACTGTCCTGGAGGTATATACACCCATTTTCGCAGCAGTAACTGAGAGAGAACAGGGTGGTTTACTCCTCCGACATCTTGCTTTCTTTCCGCGTTCATTTACCGGAACGTCCTCGCCTACCGTGATCGGAGGTAGCGTCACAGGTTCTGAGCAGTTTCGCTGGATTAGGTCATATCCAAGTGGTCCGCAGTGCATTGGTCCCAAGCACCAACATGCCGTCTCCTCCGGCCATGACAAAGGCAGCGATCCGCTGCTTCTTACCGTCGCTCATCTGCAGCGTCAGTCTGATCGCTCCTTTGAAGGACATTCTGTTGCCCGAAGCATCGAATACCTGCTTTTGCTGGTCCAACGGAATCTCTTCGACGTCGGCATCCAAGTCAAACCGGACTCCAATGCTGCCTGGAGTACTTGCAGTGGTATGATGCTGATTTGCGACCCAGTGTCCAACAACGCTTTGCGTGAAGTGCCTAGAAGATGAACTTCCGTGGTCGTTTGTTCACCGACCAATTCGCACTTGTTGTCGACCTCTACTGCTCCACATATCCATTTCCTCAAGGACGCGGTAAAAATTCTCGCCGGCTCTGCTTGCTGAGCCGATTTAGTAACCTTTTCAGTAACAGTAGCGTTCTTCTTCGGCATCGTGCAGTCCTTTCTCAGATGTCCTTGCTTGTTACAGTTGAAACACTTTCCGACGGGTCTCCGCTGAGCCGTCGCATCGCGGACATCGAGCTTACTGCTTCCACCTTCCAATGTGTTCACAGTGTTTTGGACTTGCCGAGCATCATGACTGCGATCAACTTTACGTAATCTGCCGTCCTGGCTCTTTCGAGCATGACCTTCCATGGCATTACGCATTGCAGCCGCTACTTGCTTACTCCTTTCACATCTTTGTGCCATGGCTTTCACCATGTCATACGCCTGCTCCTTTGGAGCTATCTCCATTGTCGTAAAAAGTTGGAGGTATTCTGGCCAGTCGGTTAGCTGGCTCACCAGTTCACCTGCCCTTGTACGGGACAGTTCTTCTTCCGATGCATCTGGATAGGCTTCTCTTGACAGCCTTTCCAGTTCCAGGCAGAATTCTGTTACGCCTCCATGTTTCTTGAGACGCCTTCGTCTGCACCGCCGAATTGTCCACATTAAGTACTCTCAGTTTTTCTTCTGAGACTTGCAGGCTTTCTGCCTAGCCGAAGAGTCTTACCTTGCGCCGCCGCTACTGGATCGAAATCCAGATGATATTCGATGTTGTTCGGAGTCGCCGCCATTCAGTTGTTCGTATACGGTCTCCGGCACACTTCTGTAGCATTCTGCTCCGGCAGCCTGACGAAACTCCTGCAAGAAAAGAGCATTAGGAATGCTTCACGGTACCACCAGCCTTTTCTTTTCAGGCTTATCTAGCTTTTTCGGTGTGAAGTGCTACATGAGTTTCCCACGCCTTAGCGCTCAAAACCACCAAGAGCGTTTCAGACACCACAGTTTTAAGTGTTAAGCGTTTCAGACGCCGCGGCTTTAGGATTAGCTTTCGACTTCCAGCTCCTTGAGGTGTTCCAGCTCCTGCTGAATGAGAAGACACTCCTCATTTATCCTTGAGCTCGCTGCTTCCTCGAGCTGTTAAGTCGACCTCGTTGAAACTTCTCGCCCTAATTCAGCCGGAATCGCACGCAGACTTCTCGGTCTTTGCTTTAGTCTCTATTGAGATGCGCACCTTTTGTGAGTCTTGAGCCGTTAGGCTTTCTCATCAGGCACTCCAACAACTCATTCATTGACGATAGCCGCTCTGCTGTGGCCGTTTCGCCCAAGCATCTGCTCCAGTTCAGCTGAATAGTCCTGCTTCATTCTGCCATCACACTATCCTGCGGTAGTTGATCACTTAGTTGTTCACTCACTCGAATGCGTCGACGAACGAATCCTTCCGCTCTTGTAATTCAGTGCACACTCTTTGACCAACAATAACGGACCCGACACGGATTACCATTTGACGAATCCCTGTTTACAGTCAGGGGGTACACTGCCTATCAGCAACAGAACAGCGCCTTAGCTGGTCTGAACGGCCTAGCAGGCGGATACCCGAATAGGAAAGCGACTCAGTTTGGTTCGGTACCCAAGTCACGGGTGCTGCTCCGGGTTGGCGCAGCCTCCGTTTATTGAAGGCGAAGTGACAATCGACTGATGCAAATGCTTATTTGAACAGTAGTGTCCGAGGACACTACTCTCTAGCTAACGCTCTAGCTACTTCTAGCTAACGCTAGCTCAGATTGAGATCTTCTTAGACAATAGCGGCCCTTTATGTAGAGGGCTCGAAGGGCGAACAGGAGGCCACGGCTGGCCAGTTGAATCCCTCTCAAGGGAGATGACGTCACGCTTGGCGGGAAAACACGGCATCGACTGCCCGAGACGCGAGCTGCGTATCGATTGGTTCGGCAAATTCCCACTCTCTAGCATTCTCCTTCGTCGGAAAATTCAGTTTACAGTAGTTTGCCCTTGTTGCTGCCTTCAATCGCGACCATTGCATCGTCGGCTTTGGCTAACTGGCCTTGATTCTTCTTTCTAATCCTTGCTGGCGTGTTTCCCTTTTTGAACAGGTCTTTGGACGTTTCTTTCACACACGGGAGCATTTTCTGTTACGAGTAGGCATTAGCCTGTCCTGTGAGGTGGAGATAGTTGCCTCTGGAAGTATTCTCTGCTCTAGAATCGCAGTCATTCTATAGAAATGTGGATGATCACAAGACAGATTAGAGCGGCCGGTGAATCCGTGTTACAGTAACCCGTTGTCATTGGGGCGCGCTGTTGGATTGGAGCATGGCGCACCGGCCCTTCAAACTTTTAACCATGGAAGGTGTAAGTAACATAGTTGATTCCTTGAATTGACTTCATCGGTAGGGATTTCGGCACCCTAGTTCCTGAATGTACCATTTATTCGAGTTATTATGGCGCTTCTGTGATTATGTGCATTAACACTACAAGTACACAAAGTAGTTTTTGCTCATGAATTCTTATGAGTGAAAACTTTTCACATTGACAACCCCTACAAGCTCTTTTGTGTTTTCTCTAATTGACTCACTGGGTTGGAATTTCAGCACCCTAACTTCTAAAAGTCCGTTTATTATATTATGAAGTATTCTTAACTAACCAGGAAAGGTCAACAGGTCAGCCTGGCCATTTCCAATGAAATGCACACTACTCGTCTTGCAGAACGGTGAATTCAGTAATCAGAATTTGCAGAAATCCTCTGAGTGGAGTTATGCTAGGGGATTTCGTCTCCTCAGTGGTTCTTTTACATGCTATCCGCGAAAACCGTGAAGCGTCTTCACTTTGATGAAATGAGTCTCCACACGTGGCCAGCAGACCGCAAACGGATAGCCGAGTGGGTTCGTTGCCGACGGTCGTCTTTGATCGTTTCCGCCAATCTGTTGACCTGTCCTGCCATGTTGTCCAAAAAAACACGGTTGACAAAGCTTCTAACATCTCTGCTCTCCTGCCCTATCCTGTAAAAGGACCTGCAATCAGTTTTTTTGGAAGTGTAGACCCTTTGTGGCCTGAAAGAGTGTTTGTGCTTGTCCCCCAGTATGTCAAGGGTTCTTGCAGTGAAATACCATGATATTCATGTTCAGCGGGTCAAATTACCCCTGGGGAGAAGTTTCAAGCCGAATCTGATACTTCGACCTAACTTGGAAAATGTGGGCTATGCTATGGGTGATTGGCCGTAGGCTGGGTCCACCCACCCATCAATTACTGGTCTCGAGATGGAATTTCCTACCGTTAATCAGGAAAATGATGCAAACTGCACGAATAAGTGGGCCAGGTGCTGAAAGACATGACTGAAGAGCTATTTCAGCTAAACAGTCATCATCAGTATGCTAGTCGTAGTATCGCTGGTGGCAATCAGTCAGCCATGACTATCCATACCCCATTTTTTTCAAAGCTGAGTCAGAACCTCAGATTTCGCCGGGCTGCCGTCCCCATGGGTTATTTAACCCCCTGAACACGAGTATGACACCTATATTGTGCGGAAAGCTCAGTGAGTCCCGCTACAGGTGCCATCATTTCGGCGCCAGCGCGCCCGGAAGAAGAAAAACAGTAAAAAAACCTCCATAACTTCGCTCAGAGGATCGTTCTGCGAATTTTGGAGACTGTTTTGAGTTCACCGTCTCAAGACGAGTACAAAGATGTGCACCTCATTGCAAATGGCCAGGCTGACCTGTTGACCTTTCCTGGTAAGACTGTGAGTATTACACTCTAAGTATTTCAGAAGTAGTTTCCTTATGACTTTTTATTAATGAAAAATTTATGAAATAGTGAAATGAATAGTATTCATACAATGAGCGAGGCATTTTCAATACACTGCTGAAACGAGCGCAATTCTCAAACTATTCAAACACATTATTACAATAGTGATTAGCACTTGTAGTGTTAATGCACATAATCACAGAAGCGCCAAACTCGAATAAATGGTACGTTCAGGAACTAGGGTGCCGAAATCCCTACCGATGAAGTCAATTCAAGGAATCAACTATGTTCTTACACCTTCCATGGTTAAAAGTTTGAAGGGCCGGTGCGCCATGCTCCAATCCAACAGCGCGCCCCAATGACAACGGGTTACTGTAACACGGATTCACCGGCCGCTCTAATCTGTCTTGTGAACTTGATGTGGTCCTAATAGCCATAACTGGGGGCGTTCTTTCCAAATGATCGGTTCAGGTCGCGGTAGTAATCCAGCCATTCCAAGATGTGAGGGATATCGGCGCTCCCCTCGCAGGTTTGAATTTGCTGAGTAAATACTGTTTTTTTTTCTCAGGAACATGATATCTGCGTTATTCAGTTCAACGCCTAGGAGCCGTTTGTAATTCTCGGCTTTGTTTGGGTCTTGAGCACTACTCCTTCATCGGATTCAGAACATACCTTTACGGTGAAGCTTTCGTTCCTGAAATTCCAACAATTGCCTTCGGCTGTTACGGAGACAGCCTGTGAGGCAGCGAAACTTTATTCTTCTACTTTAGAGATCGTCGCATTACTCTCCATGTGTGGGCTTTTGGGAAAGTATTAGTATTTCTGTAATCAAAGCGCTTCTGTTGCCTATAAGAGGAATTCGATGACCACACGGAAGATCATTCTACCCTACGATTGCTGCGAGTGAGATAGTGGTTCTCTGGACTTGCTATCATACTTTTCTGCTGGACGCATGAGCATATATGTTGCTCCTGTCCATAATGAGAGCAATTCTGTTTTAGACAGGCAAAGTTGTTGTGATTTGGAGCGACCCCCACACCCTCCCCCCACAACTCACCTTTCAATACTTTTCTGCGACTCATTTGCTCTCTAACGTTTCGGCATTTCGTGGATAGGTGATTGCTATCATAGCAGATTATGTAAATTTCGTAAGATAGTACGCCTCTGGCTTAGTAGGTTAGAAGTGGCAGTATGCCGCCGGCTTAATAGTCAGCCTTGTTCACTGTGTAGCGAGGTTTGTTAAGGATTATGCTGCTGAACCTATGTTCTACACAGCTTTTTCGCCCGAGCAATGTTTTCAAACAAGTGTTCACGGCTTTTTCTTCCTTCTATAAGGAATACAGCTAGCTGACTATTTATTCTTTGAATGCTGCTACAGGCACAACGTGCAAGAGTATCGATTGGAAAGGAGCTCTCTTGTTGGAGACATCTTACCACTAGCAAAGCGCTGCCCGAGCCAAGCGGCTACCGTCTCGCTGTGCTTTAAAAAGTGCAGGCTCCTCCCACTGACCAGAGAGCGCTCCACCTCAACAATGGTGACCCTGGAGAACGTTAAGGCTGCATGCGCATGCCGCAACAGGACGACCCGAAAGGTCCTTACTAAAGGATGCATTTTAGCAAAAAAAATCAAATACCTAGTTCTGAATGTTCCACCACTGGTTAGTGGCGAGTGTTATCAAAGGTGTCTGAAGACAGGCAGGAAAGGTATCACTTTTTGGAAGCTTTCAGAGCTCAATTCCCATAAAGATCAAGGAACTTTTCAACCTCTCTTAGATTTTAATTACTACAGGGCCACTCTCTCGTAGGCCGGGACCTGACCTTTGTTGTCTCCCAGAGAGAAATCACTTGCAATGTCACAGTGTTCCGTTAGTGTCAGCGCTTGCAATCTGAAGTTATTTTATTCGAACGCAGGG